CTTGCTTGTTCAGGCACTTAACCAGGCACCCTCCTTATGCCAGATACGGCATGCAACAGCCCCCCTTCATGCCTCCTCCCAGCCCTAACCCAACAGTCCCTCCACGCACCTATCAGAGATGTGCCTTCAGGAAATGACTTTGCAAGCTAAAAAAAGCAAAAGCAGCTGGCAACGGCACCCCTTTCTGCAGGGCAGCTTTCCAGGGGTACCTCTTCTCATCTAGGCAGTAATCAGGGACTGCAGGGAGAAGTGCTACCCCCAGAATAATTCATGGGAGTCTAGGCAGGCTTAGGCACAAGAAAGCTGGCTGGGACAGGAAAGGCCCAGAAGAGAAGCAAGGGCACCGCTAGAGGTGTGGCTTTCCTCCCTAAAAGTCTGGCCTGAGCTGGATGACCTGCTGGGGCTCATGCCTATCCACAAGAGGTTTGGTTGTAGGGGGATGGGGCAAGATTTATCCTAAGCAAGAAATAAAAGGCATTCTGATCCATAGACTCAATGAAATTCTAATCAAAATGCCAGCAAGTCCTTTTTTTAATAGATATTAGCAAGCTGATCAGGAAAAAAAAAAATGGGGTAGTTTGGAGACAGGGTCTCACACCGTAACTCAGGCTGGCCTTGAAGTCATTATGAAGCCCAGGCTAGCCTTGAACTCAGAGCAATCCTTCTGCCTCAGTCTCTTGAGTGCTGGCACAACAGGTGTGAGTCACCATGTCCAGCAGGACTATAAAATTTACAAGGAAAGACAAAAGAGCTAGAACAGCCAGAATGATTCTGGAAAAAAGTCTTGGGGCAATGGGGCAACGTCCTGAGCTAGAAGGAGGGTAGATGAGCCAGCATGCTGGTGAGGAGCAGGGCTCTGGGATGCCTGCCTCCAATCCTGCCAGATATTCCCATTTCCACAACTACATATCCTAGCTGTGCAATGTTTCTGGTCAGACAACCGAATCTATAATATGAGGCCACACTCAGCTTACTTCCAGGACTATCTAGCTAATCTATCAAATGAGTGAGGCTCTGCACCGGCTGCTACTCATTCACCTAGTAGTTACATATACTGCTTTCTACTCCATCCACCCACCTTGCTGTTTCCCTGCCTACTGTCCTATCTGTAAAATCAGCTCATGCTTTCTCTAAGAGTTACTTAAGCCTGTTCAAGCTGTGTCTAGAGATAACTTTCTAGGGAGAGTCTCAGACTGTCATCCTTCTGCTCAGAGCTGCAGCACTGGCCAGGAAAGCAGTCACGGCACTTTTCACATCAGGTGAGGGAAGTTCTATTTATTTCCCATTGTTTAGTAAAAGCCATGGAAGCTCACTGAGGCAATGTGACTTGCCCAGGATCAAAGAGCTAATAATCTGCAGGTCCCGAGCCCAAACCTGGGTGCTACTCCCAAATCCTGAGTTCATTCTATATCTGCTTGGTTCCTACCATTTCAGGGCCTACTGCAGAAAAACAAGTTTAAAACAAAAAAGTGCACATTCAACTAACTATACAAATCAACTCAACTGGCTACCAGCCAAGTGTCTGTGCAGTGCCAAAGCAACCAAGCTTTTGCAAGGTGCTAAGTGGCCTTCAGGGTGACTGGGGCAGATGGATCCTGCTCTTTGTGAGCAGACAGGCACTCATAGATGGCAAGTCCATGGGGTCACTGAGTGGTTAAGAGTTCAAAGCTGGAAGCAGTGTGTATGAGAGAATGGCTCAAAGGAGTCTGCAGGTCAGGGCAAATGAGAAGCAGGAGAGGAAGGGGAGAAGAAGGATACCTTCCATTCACCATGCAGTTCTGGGTCAGGAGGTGTCAGAGACAATTCACCCTTGTCCTTCCAGCTCAGGTCTCAGACACAGATTCTGTAATTCCTTCTCTATACTGCAAAACTTGGGTCTCATGAGCCAGGGTTCAGGGGGTTGGAGTATTGTCTTTGTCTCCTTAGCATGGGGTTATATCACCCACCCTCTGACACTCCAGGTTCAGGTCTCTGAGACTCCACTACCAAAATCCTGCCCCCTGGATTCATATCTAACTCAAAGCATGTTCACAAAGCCTTGTCCTACTGCCCTCAGTTGAAGACAGCCTAAGGAGATACTGTACTCCTTGGGAAACTTAAGAAGGGCTGCTGCCCCTAGGGCATCCACTCCTGCTGACCTAGACTGAAACAGGTTCTCATCTCCCAGGAGCCCAAGAAGTCAAGATGCTTATGAGTGATCAGCCTCAGAGTCCAGCCCTCCAGTGGACTTTCTCCCCAGGTGCAAAAAAAGACTATGGACCAGGATCTCTCTGAGGTCTGCTGGAATTCACAGGCATCCTGCTGGAGCCCCTTTCTGACCTAGAATATAGATGTCCCCTCTCTGGGGGGAGACACAGCTTCTGCTTTACCCTGTTCTTCCTGGATAGTCGAAGCCCTGAACTCTGTAATCTAGGGTCAAGGTACAGGCCTGTATTCCTGGGTCAAGCCCTGTCCTCTGAATCCATTCAAGTCAAAAGGGTCTGCTTTTCTTTGGGAGTTAGGAATGCAGGTGCAACTACTCCTTGCTAGCTGTTCCTCATTCCCAGGCCAGAGAAGCCACATCACACTCACTGCCTCCAGAGAGGATAGATGAGAGAAAAGAGGAAGAACACGATGAGCCAAAGCAGAACCCAGGCTAATGTCCAACATGCTGGGTCTCCAGGCTGCTGTGACAAAGGACTAGCACCCTGTGCTCTATCGCACATGACCTATTGACCTGTTAAGACCTATCCGGTGAGCAGGGCCTTTTTTTTTTTTTTTTTTTTTTCCTAAAGAGAGTACGGGCATTGTGGAGGGAAAATAAAGTTAAACAAAGAAAGCTGTTTTCAGGGCTGGAGAGATGGCTCAGCGGTTATACTGACAGGAACTTAGAACTAAGTATCTCCTTCATTCTCTTCTCACAGTTACGAAGAGGGTAACATAACTTACGAGCTCACCTTCCCCAGTCAAGAGAAGCCATATTTTGACAGACTTTGAGACAGGTTTGCCCCCCCCAACTTGTCTTAATTTAAAAATAAAAACCACATATTATAATTGAAGCCTCCCCTGATGGTTTCCTTGCTTCTTCACCAGTGTTAATCTACAGCATCATTCCCCACAGGTTCACACTCTGCTTTTTTGGGGATATCTAGCATCTTATCACACTTCCTCTTGCAAATGACCTGTGTTTCTCTAGAGACTACAACTGTCTACCACTGCCTCCCAGGTGTCTACATAGTATTGTCCCACACAGAGCAGACTATCTGTGAAGTCAGTACTGAGTAACATGCATATATCATTTAGTGTTTCTAATTTGAAATTAGATGCCTTATATGTCTCAATTCTGAAACTTGCTTTTTCTTTCCCACAGCGCCATCTTTGAGATTCAGCCACATGATCTAATAATTGAGTTTCTTACTAAGTGACCTACCTACTACTAACCAATGATCCTTCCTTCTCAGAAAGGAGCAGGACTAGAAAAGACCATCCAGTATATCAAAGACAGCTCAGAAATGAGACCCACAGCTCCAACCAGCAAGACCTAAGAACCACCTAAGAACAAGCCAGAAGAAAACCTTCTGGCTTCTAAGAAGTAAGTACAGAATGAGGGAGACTGTAGGCACCTACCTCCAAATCAACAAGTCTGGAGTCACTTGGCAAAGAGACCCTGAGGTGCTAGAAGCTAAGGTACTCCCCAAAGCACAGAGCCCAGGGCAGGGCCTACTATACTACAGTAAAGCCTCTTAGACTAGAGCCACATCTTGAACCCAAGGGAGGTGGCAAGGACCCTCTAGGCCAAGATATTGTAAAAGGGCTTCATAACTGGTACCAGAGATCTACCCTGACTAAGAAGACAGAGATGAGGGTCTGCTCTTGGGGCTTCATACTGGTGAAGGTGATAAAGGGCTATGGCAATAGGAAGGCCTGCTTCAATGTGGCAGCCCAGTTTTATTTGGGGAACTCTGCCTCTCCACAGGGCTATCTCCCATCCCCTGCACCAAAAAGTAGCAGGTCACCACACAGATCCTGTGCATGAAGGAAGCTGTCCAGGGCAAAGGAAATCAAGGGCAATTGTCTATAAAGATGCAGAGTATAATCACAACCATGTCCCAGATTGGGGTGGAGGGGGCAGGACAGGGTGAACATGAGACTTCTGGGATGTTAGGCTCTCCTGGCTCAAAAGATCACCTGGACAGCTCTCCCCTGTTCTTGTGCTGGTTCTTGCAGAGTTCCCAAGCTCTTTCTGATGAAAAGCAGCATGGGAAGTTCTGTGGCAAGTACTCTCAAGTTTGGAGGGAAGGCTGTCCAAGTCCCTCTGTGTGTTAAGCTTAGGCAACTTAAAGTGACTCAACCAGACAACAGCATTTCACAAAGTAAGGTAAACACTCTAAATGAACTCTAGAAGGTTGTACAAGAAAAAAAGAAGAGGTGGTCTCTGAGCCATGCCCCACATGAAAACTGAGTGTCAAAGATGATTCCAAGCTGGGTATGGTGGTGCATACCTGTAATCCTAGCACTTGGGAGGTAGAGACAGAAGGATCAGGAGTTCAAGATCCTCCTCCACTGCACAGTGAATTCAAGGCCAGCCTCAGCTATAAGAGTCCCTGTCTCAACAAACAAAAAGGATGAATCCAGGCTGAGAAAGCAGGTGTGAGCAGATGATCAGACAAAACATGGTTCAGGAAATGCCAAGGAGCCGAGGGAGGTTGGACAAGGCCACATGGCCAGACAGAACTTTACACACAGGTAACAAAGTGATGTAGAACACATACAAGGTACGCGTGAAGAGCGGAAGATGTAACTGAGGCAAGGTTAGAACATATTGTAAGCTAAAAGCTAGACAGTAAGCAGGGGAAAGGACACAGGAGGTCCTCACTAGAGACAGGGTTGATATTTTCAGGTCTGCACAAATCGGCCTCAAAAGAAGGGGCAAAGGAGAGCCTCTGAACACAGGGTTGGGAGGATGCTGGTGAAGAGAAGAGGGCAGAGTGCAGCAGAGTGAGAGCTACACATGGTATCACCTGTGCTTCTCGCCTTCCTCTTCCTCTTCTTTGACCTGCTTGGTCTTTGGCTCCCCATCTTCCTTGTCCTGTAAAGAAAGAAAGAAAACCACATGCTCAAATGAACATTCCTAATGAGCAGCTAATGATGACCAGGACAATCAGGGCCAGATATCTTAGATGAGCCCTGATGGTTGCAATGCTGGGGCCTGACTCTCAATACTTTACTCCCTGGGCAGAACTTAAAACTTCATGATCCCGGCCCAGTCCCAAGGCACGTGGTGATCCTCAAAGAGAAGCAAGAAGATCTAGAAGGTTTTAGATGGTAAAAATGGAGCTAGTCAGAGCTGGAAGGCCACCAGCCATCTTCATGGGTCTAGAAGGAATCAAATGTCAAGCTGTAGTTTGAGTAGGAAAAGAATGGGCACAAATAACCACCAAGCTCAGGTCTCCTGGCTATCTTTCCAGGCCAGAGGCCTCTAGAAACAACCCATTTGGCTCCTTTCAGAACCTAAGTTACTATTTAACTCAGTCTTAGAACAAGACTCACCATCTCTTTGATGTACTGAGAGAGACAGAGGCAAGAGGAACTCATTTGACAAGTCAGTGTGAAAAATTTCTTCTAAATCTGGTTCTTTAAAAAATAACTGTTTACACTTATTGATTTTTGAGAGAGAGAGAGAGAGAGAGAGAGAGAGAGCCACCAAAACGGCATATGGAGATAAGAGGACAACTTGCAGGAATCTGAGGAGGTCAGAGGGCAACATGTAGGAGTTAGTTCTCTCTTTCTACCATGTGGGTTCCAGGGACAGAACTCAGGTTGCCAGGCTTACTCACTAAGCCATCTTATCAACCCCTAAATCTGTTTCTTGTTTTGTTGTCTCCCATAACACCTCCCTCCTATTTTCAGTTTAGAGAAGACAGGTTCATCTCATCCTAGACACAGGATGCTTGTGGTGCAGGTGTCCCAAGGGCCGCAAGGGCACTACCATGTTGCTTCCCCCTGTGGTAGAAGGAAGTGCTCCTGGGCTCTCCACCATCACTGCTGTTGGATCAGCTGGCCCTGTGGACAAACTGACCCACAGGTTGTGTGCATGCCTGGGCAGGATCAAATATATGTGGCCATGCCCCAGGCCCAGGGCATCAACCAAGGCCTGCACACCAGGTCTAGCCCTCCAGAAAGTGTCAAGCTCACTTTTTTATGGGCAATGAACGGCCTGCCTCTGACTCTCGCTGGAGTGGTGTTCTGAGGAGAAACCTGGAAGCTTCTACTTACAACATGTTGTGGCAGCTTTGAGCATAAGCTGGAGCTGACATTAAATTATAAATAGCTTTCCTGAACTACCTCTCCTGGGAGGATATGTATGCCAGTAACAACTGCCTTCCCCTGGGGGTAGACTTTGCTTCCCGTCACTTCCTGCCAGTGCCCACTCTGGAGACCATCAGGGCAATGACAGACCCTGCCATCCCCAGTCACATGACCTATATGGCCTGGCTCAAAGAAAGCCTTTCATAATGGAGTATATCAAGATCCCCTACCCATAACCCAACACAGCACAGTCTCATGGGGATGAGGTACCAGGAACAAAATAACAAGAAATAGCAACAACATGGCTCTCTGGGGGTGAGTGAGGGACTCTACTGAGGGATGGGGATGTCCCCCAGTTTCCAAGGACAGAGAAACAGGGGCAGGGAGGCATTCCTGGGGTAGAACAAAGGTAGTGTGTGGTCCAAAGAACAGGCAGAGGTTCAGGTAGCGCTGGGGAGAAAGGACAGGTGAAGGCTGGTAGCAAACAGGTCCATCACAGAGGGCTCTCGGCCAGTGTTCTAGGTCAATGGGCACAGAGGAGAGGCTGTGAAAGTGCCAGGCAGGTGGAGAGGTATAGGCTGGTGATGACCACAAGGGAGAGTGGAACACAAATGCTCAACTGAGAAGCAAATTAGTGTTCTCTGAGTGGCTCAGAAGCTGCTGGGACCTGGATGAGGCCTTAAGAGGCTGGGCTGACACAGGCACCCCTCCCTGACTAAAGGCTTGCCCATAAAGCCACCAGAGGCATAGATATTCTAACAGAGTTCCCTACCAACTGCAAAAGCCAGAGGTGCTTGCCTTGGGGGAACGGGCTCGTAACTTGTTCCTTGGATGAGACAAGAGAAGAGCAGAAAGAGCATAGCCTTCCCTATGATGGGCTAGCAGACGAAGGCCCCCATTCCATGGGCAGCTTCTCTTTTAAAAATTATTTTTTGAGGGGCTAGAGAGATGGCTCAGCAGCTAAAAGCACTGGCTGCTCTCGCAGAGGACCCAGGTTCTATTCCCAGCACCCACATGGTGGTTAACAACTGTCCATAACTCCAGTTCCAGGGTATCTGATGACCTCTTCATACCTCTGCAGGCACTACATGACACAGGTACACTTATATACATGTAGGTAATATACTCATACACATAAAATAAAAATAATAAATTTTTTTTAAATTATTTTTTGAGCCAGCATGATGGCGCACGCCTTTAATCCCAGCACTTGGGAGGCAGAGGCAGGCAGATCTCTGTGAGTTCAAGACCAGCCTGGTCTACATAGTGAGTTCCAGGACAGCTGAGGATACAGGGAGACCCTGTCTCAAAAAGACCAAAAAAATGGCTCAGCCGTTAAGAACACTGGTTGTTCTTGTAGAAAACCTGAGTTTGAATCCCAGCACCAATATAGCAGCTAACAACTGTTCCTAACTCCAGTTCCAGGGGATCTGATGGCCTCTTCTGTCCTCCATAGGCATTGTACAACATGGGTGCATTTACCTACATGCAGGCAATACATTCATACACATAAAATAAAATAAATAAATAAAATTTTTTAAAAAAGACCAAAAAAAATTTTTTTTTGAGACAGGGTCTCACTGTGTAGCCCTATCTGGCCTGGAACTTACTATGTAGACCAGGTTGGCTTCAAACTTACAGAGATCTACTCTACTTGCCTCTATCCCCCTCCCAACCCGCACCCCCAGTGCTGAGATTTAAGGTATGTGCCACCACACCTGACACAAAGCTTCTTTATAGAGGGGCTCTGTGCAGCTAGCAGAAAGAGGGCAGGAACTGTGCTGAAAGGATCAGCCTCTGGGAGGAGTGCTGCGCCAATACCACGTCCCTTTCCAGCCAAGAGCAAGGTTAACTCAGTCAGTCTGCCACTGCCAACTCCAGGAGGCCCAGAAACACTCAAGTGCCTTGGCAAAGGCCAAGTTACTCATTAATAAATGAGAAAACACCCAAGTAACTAAATGGCATTTAAAAATCATCTAGCTGTCTAGTAAAGAGCTACAGCACTGGTCTACATAAAACCAAGGTTAAGACCCCCTTCTGAACAGAGCAGAGGCTCTAGACAGAGGATGACATACAGGGGTGGTAGGAGCAAGTGAACAAATGAATAGGATGCAGAGGTGGGGGGTGTACTCTGGCTCCCTGTTAAAGAGTGACTCTTGCGTAAGGACAGCCAGCATTCCTGAGAAGAATTGCTTTTGCTAATCTTGGTCTACGCCAAAGGCACTGCCCCCAACCCCTGCATGGGATGATGAATGCACACGTAGGACAGTCTAGAAGCTCACCCTAGCCTGAGAGACTCAGAACTCAGAACTAGGAGTGTCACAGGACTGCCCATCTCAGGTCCTCAATTCAACACAGTGGGGAATCTGGAAATAGCTGGCAGGGGAAGGAAAAATGAGAAGAGTAGCCCAAGATAGCAGAACCTGTGTGTGGTACCTGCAGATCTGGATCATGGTCCTCCTTGTCTGGCCCAGAGTTCTTGCCTATCCAAAATAATACTGAGTTTCTAAAAATGAATCTGACCTCAACCACCTTTCCTGTCTCCCCACATAGTTGAGATATGGTCATATGCACAGATCCAGTCACAGCTGGCCCAAGCCCAGGCTGAGGCACTAGTGAACACCCAGCAAGAGAGGAGGCAGGAGCCTCACATTCCAGGGGTTCACAGAGACCATCTTGAGACCCCTTAAATCAGGCTCAGTGCCTAACCTGTCCCCACCCTTTCCGAGGTTTCTCCACCTTTCACCCTCCTTCCCAACTCCTGGTCTCCCATTTTTGTTCCCTCTTGTCCCTACCTTCTGGGGTCCTCACAACAGAGCCCCTAGCCACTCCCCTCCACTCTCCCTAGCCACAGAGCTCTCTAAAATCCGGCTTCTTAAACTGTGGATCATGACCCTATATGCAATCACATAATTGAATGTGGAAGTTAAGAAAAATTTGGTAAAACATTCAATGACCAAAATATAATTCAAAATAAAATGCATAATGAATTCAAGGAGTTTCTGGCAGCATTCACCTGTGCTGCAGGGAGACTTCACTACCACCTTGGTTCTGAACACATCAATGAATGTTGCCAGAAACACCATGCCTCAGATTCAAGACTGTTGTAGGCTATGAATTGTATTTTTTTTATTTTATGTGTATAAATGTATTGCCTGCAGGTAGTAAGTGTACCTGTGTCATGCAATGACCACAGAGGTCAAAAGAGGGCATTGGATTTCCCTGGAACTGGAGTTAGAACGTTTGTTAACCACCATGTGGGTGCTGGGACTCGAACCCAGGTCTTCTGCAAAAGCAGTCATTGCTCTTAACCACTGAGTCACCTCTCCAGCCCCCAAATTGTAGTATTTTTAGTGCATGTACTAAGTTTTCTGCTCTTAGAAAAACACAATGGTTTAATTATAGAAAAGATTTTAATTATTTTCTTATCATTCTTAGCAAGTATCAAATGAGTGTATCTTTCAATTAAACTGATGTTTGATTTTTATTTTAAAAACTGCTTTTTGTGCATTTGCCTACGTGTGTGAGCATGCATGAGTGTGAGCAGCATGAGTGTATGTATACATGCAGAGGCTAGAGGTCAACCTTGGGTGTCTCTCCTCAGGTGCCACCCACCTTGTTTCATTGAAACACATCTCTCAGAGGCCTGAGACTTGCTGAACAGGCTAGGCTGGCTGCCCAGCAAGCCCTGGTTATCCAACTGTCTTTGCTTCTCCAGCACTGAGATTATAGGCACCATGCACACTTTTTAATTTTTATTACTATTTATTATAATTTATC